ACACACACACACACACACACACACCATGTAGCAGTGTAGTAGTTCCTCATGTCAGATTTAAGGTGCGTCGTCACTGAAATCACATGATGTGTTCCTAAGGTGGAATGAAAAATGGCTGCCTGACACATGTCATCCATGCTTGCCAAACATTAATGAAGAAAATATTGGAATTCACCCTAACTTAGCTGTAACTTGACTAACCTCTCATGAACTTTGCCCTTCTCATCACCCAGAGTAACAGTGACGGTTCGGACATTGTGCAGCTCAAAGCCTGGGTCGTACTGATGGAAGTCGGAGGTTACCCAGCCCACCCAAACACTGCTGGGCTCCTGACCAGGGAAGATCCGCACGGAGTAGTAGTGCTGCACACAAAGAGAGATGCACATAGGTCAAGTTGAATTGAATTTCCCTTCATCACAGTTACTTACCCAACAGGCTTCACAACACACGTATTATGAAACACTCAATGCAGGTGATAAACATAATTTGCTAAGAAACCAAAGAACTCTCGGACAGTTGAAAAATCCAAAGCAATTCGTATATTTAACAAATGTAATGACTGAAGAGTAACACTTTTCTAGGACCTGTTGATCTGTATTATATTCATAATTTATGAATTTCAAAACCCTCTTGAGCATCTTTAGCCTTACTTGCTCTCTTGGAGTGGGGAGTTTCTCGTCATCAGTTACATGTATATTGCATGTGAGTGTTTTGTGAATTGTATTTTGTTGATGTATTGCCTTACAGTAGAGGCTTGTATGAGAAATTCATATTCATCTCTGTCATCAGCCATCACCTCCTCTGACAGACGAGCAGATGTCGGACAGCTGTTGTCTGGCTTGTTTTTCTTCAACATGAACCTGGCAGGTCAGATGGTTGGTTTAGGTTTATATAGTTAAAAAAAAAAGGTGATCAAACACAATGACACAAATTACGAGAGCGGAAAAGCTGGATAGAGATAACAGAACTGTTGAATCTTTAGTGTTGAGGTCTACCGTTGCTTGAGTTTGGAAGGCTTCTCCTGGTTATAGTCTTTGTGGTTGTTGAATTCATCTCTGTCAGGTCCATTGGGACCATTGGGACCATGAGAAGACTTCATCAGGACCTCAAAGTCTGACACAGTTTCAAAGTCCTCCAGCTCCTGCAGAAACAGACAGTGAAAACACCACGCATATACTCAGTCATAAACCCTAACCCTACTCTTAACACTTTCCAAGTAAATGTTAGTAGTAAATGGTGTCGTAGTGAGCTTTCCTTTGATAGTTCTATGTACACATATGAACATCATGCAGTTGACAAGAGAAATTCAAGATAATGAGTATACAATATATTCCACCCGGGCAGTGGAGGAAGCTGCTACACAACAAATGTATTGAGTGTGTGTTACACACCAAGTATCTATCAATGTCTACACATCTGTCAGACACATCTGTCGGACACATCTGTCGGACACATGTGTCTGACACATGTGTAGAGATGTAAATGAGTCGAGGTCAGTGGGTTTGTGATGCTGTTACCCTCTTTGGTGAGAAGAGGCTGTTGTTCGCTGGGGATGTGGAGAAGGATTCTGCACACTCTATGGGCATGCTCAGCCTGTAGAAGGTAATGTCAGTGTAACTGTTCTGTGAGCCAAACGACCTCTGGGTGACCTTCAGGCATGGACACGACTCCACCGTCCCATCGATCCTTGTCACCTGAAAAAGGCGGCAAAATAAAACTAGAATTACCGCCTCAGTCAAGTTGCAGTTTGTACCCATGATTGTCCACAGTGCCCTTCCTTGAAAAAACATTAGCTATGTCTGGTCCGTCAATATTTCAGCTCCGATTCATCTTTCAGTAGTGTATTGAACAGTTTTAGGGGGGGAGCATGCAAGACAAAAACATATTTAGAAATGTCTTGAAATTTGTCTGAAGGGATTACATTTTAGTTCAGATCGCAGGCCAAAGTCATTAAATGTTCTAAACCTACATCAGATTCTACCAGGTGTTCGCTACGTGGGTCTGTATTGCGGGTGACTCCGCTCACCTCCATGTGTTGGTGGTTGGGAGGGATGGGAACAAACTGAGGCAGCCTCTTGCTGAGCCACATGGTGACGTCCCGGTTCATGTTGACGGCAAACGGTTCGTAGCCTTCCTGCAGGCCGCAGATGGTGAAGTACTTCAGAGTGCTGACGTCCTTACCGAAGTTCATTCTCCCCCCCTGACACACACCCAAACTGGAGACAGGGATAAAACCTGGAGACAGAGAGAAGAAATCAAATACTAGGAGTAGGATCAAGCTTTTTGGGCAAGTCTACCTGTAACACTACCCATAGAGGAACCTTTTCAGTGGACCATTGGTGCAACTCAACTGATAAGTTCAATGATTCAAGGATCATTTATTGTCATCATGCAACACAGAGATGCACTACGAAATTAAGTTGTAGCCTATTTGTAAAACAACAAACACATGACAAACAATACAAAACCAAGACAGTAGTACATTCCTGTAGTCCATCTTTTGAATTTGCATAAGGAGGATTGTAAACAGCAGCAACAACAACAATTCTCTGGTCAGATGATATGGCCGACGTCTTCAAATTAAAAATGAAACATGAGGAAAACATTATCCATCAACTCTGACTGTTTGAGCACCAAGCATCATGACAAAAACACAGAGTCCTCCTCTGGTCCCACCGGAGTCCTGTTCTCTGTCTCGCTGTTCACCCGTCAAGTTGAGCTTGATCCTGGACCACGATGGATCCAGGTCTCTGTGAAGATGTGGGCTCAATAGTCACCAACCTTCCGCTGCCTTTCATCCATCTTATTTTTCGCCGACCAGGCATCAGACAGCCAGCAGTAGGCTGGGTGGTGGAGTAGCCTTAAATCCTAGCTATTAGCTTAGCTTCCATCTGGGCTCTTCTCCCTGTGGCAGTTTGGTTGCAGTTTGGTCCAGCAGGTCTGGCTGGTTGGTCGGCCGTGGGCTGTGATTGTCTCAAAGTCCCCCACGCTTCCTTTACAGATGTTGATGAATGTATTCTGTCAAATGCCATTAGTCATAAAAAATAAAAAGACAAAAATGTAGCAACATTTATGGGAGCTACCGGCCGCTCCTATCTCTTCCAAAAATGTTACATAGTCCTTATTAACAAACACATGTTATACAGCTGACTGCAGGCATGACCAATGACCTCTCATCTTTAAATACTGTTGAGACAAGCCTGCCCATGGGGGCCTTCTATCAAAGGACCAGACTTAAGCCCCCGTAATGCTTTCTGCACGGATGGTCGCACGGACGTGTAATCCTGAAGAGGAAAAGTTTGGATCTTTTATACTCTGCCCGGGTCTCTCCTCGCAGCAAATCAAACCCATATTCTCCAAACTGTAGGGCTCAAAACTCTCGTCTATAGCATGTTCCGGCCACAGGCGTAGTTAGAAAATGTTGAATGTACACGAACAGGCAAATATCCACTGCACAGGATATACAGTATGTTGTCTATAACGCAGCACTGACCTTCACCAACTTCAAAGTCCTTGAAGGCCAGCTCAGATCCGGAGTCATCCAGCAGCACTTCTCCATTGAGGGTGAACATCATGGTGTGTTCGTTCAGATCCACCATGCAGCCCACCACGTCCCCTGTCTGCCACGCACGGCCAAAGTGCTCATTACCCTGGTGCCAGCGCTGGACCTAAGAAAAATAAAAAAACGTTCAAGATTAATTGTTATTTGGACATTAATATTAAAAAACATAAATTCTATTGCAGTGCCATGAAACTGAATAAATGGAAAGTATGGGGCGAAGAATAATCCAGCGACCTTGAAGCCATCGAAGACAAAGGCCTGGTCATCTGATCCCAGCTCCTGGTCTGGGAGGCACCCTGGCCTGGCCCAGCCCACCCTCATCTCTCCTCCTGTTAATACCTAGAGAAGAAGCAGGAACCAGGTAATATCCAGTTTAGGGGAAAAAAAACTGTAAAAGCGTGCGTGTCTGCAGATTATGGTGGATCAAGAAACAAATGTGGAATAGTAACAACATTTAGTGAAAGCTTCTTCATACTCTTTAGATCAGAATAGGTCCCCATGAGGGATCTTAGGTTACATCCTAATAGCTAATATCTTCAGCGCAATACTATCACATCTCTTGCCATGTCTCTTCTTACCTCCAGCTCAAAGTACCACTTCCCCGCATTAACACAGTAGGTTTTTTCTGCTCTGAAAATGCGAAACCTCTCAGTAGATATGTTGTTGGGGTCAGATTGAGCTGCTGGAGGAGAAGAAGGGGCCATTACCATAAAGAAGAAAATCATCTTATTGTCATATGTTGTACTTTTGTACAATCAAGGTATTCATTCCCCCCCCAAAATGATTACATAACATATACAAATATTCCTAAATGAAATAATACAATGAAGGGTAGGTTTTGTACCATGGTCCTGGTCAGGAGCTTCCAGGTTGTATCCATATCCCAGCAGAGTCCTGACGGCCTCTCTTAGACTGTCTTTGTTGGACTTCTTGGTTCTTTCATCCAGCAGAACGTAGGGGACTAGACGAGGGTTTCGGCGACTCTTCACATCCTGACAAGAGACAGAGGCCAGAAGAATAAAAAGTAATTCTCAGTTGCTTCATTGGAACGTGGTGCTGGGTGGGGAAAGAGAAACAGAACCCCTCCCTTGTTAACATCACTGAGGTGCCTGTAGGCAAGATATGTTAATCCCTTACAGCTAGTAGAGCAGCAAACAAACTGTCAGACAATAGCTTTCTTTGTGCATTGAAATAAACGTTGGTTCTAGTCAGGCAGAAATGTCCGGGCCTGATAAGTTAAACCAATGCGAAAGTGTCTTAAACTTGCATTCTCTCTAGTGTCCACCAGGGGGCGACTCCTCTGGTTGTATAGAAGTCTATGAGAAAATGACTCTACTTCTCTCTTGATTTATTACCTCAGTAAACATTGTAAACATGAGTTTATGGTCTCAATCTCTGGGTAGTCCGGTCTGGGAGTTGTTTTCATCTTAGAACTTTAACCCTTTCATAATGTGTTTTCAATTCATGACAGTAAATTTGAACATTCTGGTCACCTTAAAACGTGTTTGGTTGTGCTTATTGTACTTACTCTTAAAAACCAAAAGCGAAGCTTTGAAACTGTAGTCCACAAACCAATGGGTGACGTTACAATGAATGAGTCCACTTCTAATTTACAGTCTATCTATGGTTCTAGTCAGCCAACTGGCTGAATTGGGGAAGAAGTTCTATCTTCAGTGTTATCCACAAGCCACTCAGAATATTACCAGATGGCAATATATCCTCTGAAGGAAAACCAAGCAACCTACGTACATTCTGGGTTGCCAGTGTAACGATGCAGCTTGTTATCTCACAACTGATCTGCCGTTCTTCTTGTGCTACTGGTCCTCTTCCTCTTTGTTTAAAGGTAGTGTGCTTCAGTTTGACTACACTCAGGATTCCTCCCCACTGAGATGGCATGGCAGTGATATGCACACCAGAGGCAGACACTAAAACGTGTTTGTAGTTTGTGTATTTCAGCTCAGTTAACATGCAAACATATCAAGTAATGATATGGCACACCTTATTTTGTTTTCCCACAGCACACACTTTGTTTGTGACAGTTTAATTGGAGCGCACACATTTTTATTTCTGTCATTACATTTTATTTGCTTTCATTAATAATATTCTCTTTTATGGATCCTATACAAGTCCTCCCCTGGCCTAAAGATATGGTGGCAGTCAAGATGGCCTCTTATACTGTGACAAGCAGGAAGTAGAAAAGGCCAACTGGGTAGAATCCTAGTTTAATCTAACTGTTTTGTGAATTTATGGGAGATTAGTTTGTAAATACTTTCTTTTTCTTGATTGGAGTCGGTAAAACACCCATAGTCACACAAAACACTTTTCCAATTCTGAGTAATGGAAAAGCTCAAATACCAACTCTTCCATTTTCATAGCGCCACAGAACTTTACAAAATAATCCCTATAGCTCTTACAAGAATAAAACCTCTACAGCTGATTATATTAAAAAAGCAAAATGAGGGGAGAGAGGAGGAGGCCGGTGGTGCGGGAGAGACGCCACTGATGATGAAAGGTCATTGATTGAACACCCTGCTGAATCCAATCATGTGCTGGTGCGACCAACTGAGCAAGTAGAGGACAAGTTGGTCTGGTGCCCTGCAATCACACAGGTCATCCAACTATTAAATCAATTTGTGAAATTGAGAGATAGGGGAAACACAAAGTCATCGCTGTCCGTCTCAACACGTAAACAGACCCACACACAGAGCCCAGTATTCAACAATATGTGTCTACCTGTTGGATGCCATAGGTCCAGCCCTGGCGGATGCGATCTCTTGCCCAGACGTTGTGCGCATTCTCAGCCAGTTTGTCCACCATGGCTTCCTGGGTGGAGGTCAGTTTGATGTGACTCAGGTCCAGAGGGGCAGGTTTATAACCACCGGACAGCTCATAGCTGCACAGATAGAGTTGGATCACTGAATCTAGCTCGCCAGCTGCTCAACAACCTTCATGTACTGATGTCTGAGAGCCTCTGGAGCTTTGTTTCGTCTTATTAATCAGCTCACGACATGTCCCATTGATCCTGTCACTGTGTCATTACATCATGCAAGTTTCATTCTGCACCCAGTTCTTGTTGACTTATGGCATTACCTATCTGTTATTATACTGATGGCTGGGTTGACTTACGTGGGTGACAGTTTCATGCTCTTGACTTTCTCTACAGCGTGCTCATCTGCTAAGCCAACGTGACAACCAAGGGCCAGGAGAGTTCTGTAACACACACACACACACACACACACATCAAATCCAATTTAGTGTTCAGGTGTTTGATATTGACTCAAAGATGATTATCATCACCCATAGTTAACTGCCACAGGAAGAATCTTAAGAGTTTGCTCATGTACAGAATGAACGTATCATGTGTCATCATGTCTTATGTTGCTTTCTGCACTGATGCATTACTTCAGAGTCTCCAGAGACATCTGTAAGTTGTAGCTCCGTTCTTGTTCAGGGAGCTTGGCGAACTCCACCAGACAGGGGTGTTGCCGCTTGTTATCATCTCGCACCTGAAACACACAGACAACATGTAAAACTAGAATTGTTGTCGCGACTTTATCCTATTGGGCATTTGTGTGAAATTTGTATGGTTAGAGGTCAGTGACCTCTGACCTTTGACCACCAAATTCTAATCAGATCATCCTTGTGTCCAGGTGGACATTTGTGCCAAATTTGAAGAAATTGCCTCAAGGTGTTCCCGAGATATCGCATCCAGGACAATGGGATGCACGGACAACCAGGAAACACAGTGGCTCCTCCCACAGCTGTCGCCGGAGCGGAAGCATAAAAAGCAAAGGTTAAGACAGCGAGGGAAGGGAGCCTGTTGATCTCAGGACAAGGAGAACCATGGGACACCTCGATGCATGTAGTTATAGAGTTGCAGTTACATCAATGTAACTTAGAACTACTGACTGTTTGGGATGTGAAGTGCAGTATCAGCTTCTATGTGTGCAACAAGTGAGGACTCCCCTGGGTCTGTGGCTGTGCACTGAATGAGCCACAGTGGTAGATATGACTGACTGACTGGATTCGGTTGAGATACGACGGCAGAGCCCGAAAAGCTGATGTAATGACCTCGAGTTGAAGCTCTGCCAACTAAGCATTCAGAATGCTGATCGATTTGAAATGCATTTTCATTGAGGTCAAGAATTCTGCTGTTGACTCAATACGATCTGACAGAGACAGACTTGTTTAAGTCCTTTGCTCACTAATTAGTTTGTTGACATATTCATAGTTGGAACTTAAATCTTATTTTCATTGAGCAAAGGAGGTGAAGCTTAAATAAGAAATGTATTAACAGTGGAACAAGACCTGCATTTCATTTCTCTCTCTGCATGTTTCACCTTGTGTAACAATAATCTGACGGCATTCGATTCAGAGTTGTGCCGTGTTGAAGGTGACCTGTTGAGCTGTGAGAATCTTTATGTAAAAGTGACTCCGGCGCTCATTCAAACATGAGACCAACATGTTGAACTGCCATCAGATTAAATGTATGTTAACATGCTTGAAAGGGGCTTATAATCACAATCGGTGTTTGTCTGATACTCACTGCACCGTAAGTCCAGCCCAGTTCTATCTTGTTCATCACCCACAGTTCATGGATGTTTTCTGCAAGCTTCTCCCTGATCCTCTCCAAGTGAGGCGGCAGCACAATCTGCACACACACAGGAGAAGAAACGGAAAATTGACAATCGTTTTCGGACATCGAACGTCTGTTGCTTGACAACATGTGCTGCACATTGGCATGAAATGCTTCTCTGGTCATTAGACCACTGAGGTCTGTCACCTCTTTCACACGTTACATCCCTCTGTTACCAATACAACATATAATAATAACAGTAATAATTATAATTATCATTTTCTTTTTCTTCTAATTGGAGGGCTTTTTTGGATCAGAATGGCGTGTTGATTAATTTACTAATTCGTTTTTACTTTAAGACCATTATTATCGTTTATTTATTTATTTTCTTCCCCTATTATTATCATCATTATCATCATAATAATTTTAATATTATTATTATTAATATGTATTTATTGAACTTGTCAACATAATTATTACTATTTATTTATTTCTCTCTCTCCTCAGACATACCTGCACCTTTTTATGGTCATAATTATTCATGTATAAAAATTTACACTGACAATAGTCCATCAAACAAAAACATATTCTAATCATAATGTCTGTTTCATACGTCTTGTGATAATTATGAATGTGCCTGTCTAACCTGGCTGTACTATGTCACACTGACTGAACAAAACAAATGGAACATGAGTTTAAACTGCTGGAATTAAATAAAAATGACCTTGAATGAGTTTATGAGCCAGGATTAACTAGCATCTCATAGTAATGAAATAATTAGAAATGTATTGAAATATTTCACCTTCTCAACGTTATATTATAAATGGTGTAAATCATAAGCTTATTGATTTCATAGTGTCTTATTGATCCACAATAACACACTCCTCTAAACTGGCAGCGGTCTGTACCTGGCTGGTGTCCACAGGTGTGGGGGTGAATGCTGCCTGGCTCAAGGTGATGGTGGGTCCCAGCAGGTCTTTGGCTGCAGTCTGGTCCTGACTGGCCTCCAGCTTCAGCTTCTCCCTGGGCAACACCGCCTCGTAGCAAGGAGCGTAACCCGGAGGAGGGAGGAACTTAAACTCCCCATGACGACCCCCGAGGAGGAAACGCACCCTGCAGTGTGACAGGCGACAGGAGGAGTCAAGGAGAGTATGGTCTAAAGGCTATGATGGAAATATGGATGTATTCACTTTGCCAGACGTCAAAGGAAACAGTGTGAACAACTACCAAACCCCGTAAGTTCATTAGATAGCATTAGACTTTCGTTTTTCAGTATGGCTGTTTAGATTTAGACAAGAGTTCTAAAGGTAAAAGTTATATTTAAATAGCCACAAATACTATAAATGAAGTGCAGTAATAAATACATTTTCTTTTTATGTATGGAAGTCCTTTAGAAGTCTATTTCTTTTCACTCTTACTTATTCTGATATTTATTCTATCGGTTCTGCGGAAAAACCTTTTTGGAACCTTTGACGCTTATGTTTGATGGTGAGACAAAATATTCTGGAGTTTCCTCTGACATGAGGGGAGGGACAACAACTGCCTTCTCACTGACTTGACTCCTGCAGAGAAGCTGGCCACAGGGAAGAAGAGGCCGTCAGAGTTGAAGTTCTCAAACATGCCCTGAACCGGCTGCCCGTTGATCCTGAAGGAGATACTGGGCACACTGAGGTCCAGGCAGCAGCTCACCACATCCTCTGCTCTCAGAAGATGCTGATTGGGTGAGGTAACAGTTCGCTCAATGCAGCCTGCACAGTGAGGACAGAGTTCAGTCAGTCTTCGACATGTGAGCATCTGAATTTTGAATCTGCCATCTGGAACAGTCAGACTCCATATTTTGCCACACTATGTAGCAAGTACAAGAACACAGACACACACACACACACACACACACCTCACCTGACCAGAGATGGAGTCCATCAAAGCCGTAGGAGTAGAGGTCATCGCCCACCCCGTTGCCACCCCACCCTTCGCCCCCGCTGGGATAGGGGGCGTAACCACTGGTGTTGGCCCAGCCTATCCTGAGGTGAGAAGCCTCTGCTGTGACGAACGGCAGCGCCTGATCCACGATCAGCTCGTAGTACCACTTCCTGTACTGAGCAGAGCCGTCACTGACTCCCAGGAAGATGTTGGGACGCATGCTAATGTCAAGATGAAGCATAGGAGGGACTGTCAATGAGCCATCTGAAAAACGACTCTCCACTGGGTTAGAGTGACAACAAGTGTTTGCCTTTTTTTTGATATTATTGTATTAAAGTGCGTGTGTGTGTGTGTGTGTGTGTGTGTGTGTGTGTGTGTGTGTGTGTGTATACCTGCTTACGTGGTTGATCAGGCGGGTCTGCAGTAACAGTTCTCTTCCTGGCAGCAGGTTATCACAGATCAGGTGCTGGTTGGAGCGCACTGCTACACCGTGACAAACGCACAGTGAGCACAACACATCTAGAACCTGGACGGCAGCACACACACCAGATAATATGTCAGTGTTGTAAATATATCTTTGTTACAGTATGAACACACACACACACACTGACACAGAGACTGAACTGCAGGATTCCCAACAGATTTGATTGGACAGGCTGCAGCGCTCCTCCTTTGCCTTGAGAAAATGTCTTGTTGTTATCTCGCCCTGCTCAGCGAGTGCCCTCCAGGAATTAAACCACAATGTACGGCACTCGAGGGACTTAAAACAAAGATGGGTTGAGAAATCACTGCTTGTGGCTGCTTTGTTTCATCCAGCACTTTGCCCTCAGCTGCCTCGGGTTCTGCCCACAGATTCTTGGAGGCCTTTTAACACCACGCACACTTATCCATGTGCAATATTCGCACATAACTTTTCAAAAATGATTTTAAGGGGAGACACTACAGGTGAATAGTATAAAAAGTATAAAAGTATAAACTAATATTTATCCCCATAAAACTTCCCCCATTGATTACTTGCATTCAGACAATTGTTTTTATGTTCAAATATGCAAATGAGGCTTTATCTAATGCTAACTTTTGGTGAATTTAGGAGAAATCTATAGACACAAGAAGGCAAAGTAAAATAAACACTTAAATGTGTATTTTGGATGATTTATTTCCTCTAATCTGCAAGACGTCATGTTATGGAAGCAACATAGCTCAAAATCGATAAATTGCTTGAGCAATCCGAGGCATGAAGATGCAACGTTTATGCCTCGGGTGTCTTGCCTTTGATGTTTATAATGGAAGCTTGTACACGTGTGAAACCTTTTGAGTTGATATGAAGACATGCTGCACTATGTCTTTATGTACACACACTTTTTCTTACTAAATCTACATCGGTGTTGCTCTCTGTTGTCTGATTGCAACATTTGTTTTATTTTAACCGAATCTACTCAGTCAATATTCATCTCTTTGAATAACGTGAATATCAATTGAATTGAATTTGATTTCATGTTCTGTAAAGCCCTCTGTATAAGTGCCTGTACCTTGTAGTTGCGTCCATGCTTGTCCAGCAGAGATATAATGGATTTGATGTGTCCCTCTTTGATTATGTTCAGCGCCTCAGGACTCTCCACCAGCACACAGTGAAGCACCTCTAGTATACCTGGCAATACATGACATGTATAGTAAGAGTGACTACATTATGTAGAGAAAGCGTTCAAACCACTTGTCCTATTCACGAATCATCACGGCTAATGTAGGCTAACAGCAGCTCATAACTGGTCAAGATTAAGGGAAGCCCTGGGAGGCAAGGTGAGATATGCCACTATTATCATTATGGCATTCTTTCCGGGTTATATTACAAATCAACTGAGGGAAAGTGGGTGTGAAACACAAGGGGGCAGGACCGACTGATTGCAAGTGCTGAATCTCTCAGGGAGAGTGTGTATTTTCAGAGCAAGTTTGCCTCTGAAAATACAGGCAAATATATTTGGTTCAGGCTAAAAACACATTTCTCGTACGTGGGAGGAAATATCTCGTACGTACGTCATAATAACTCCTTTGTAGGAAATACAGCTTGCCTCTCAGGGCTTCCACAGTTTATGCACTTTTAAAAGCAATTAAAGAAGAACGAGTAGATAAGAATCCAATCAGCTATCCAAAGAAGAAATTATCCAACAACATCGGAAATGAAGGTTTGCAAACTCTGCACTTCTGTGACTAGAAAGACATGCTCTGCACTGCTGATGAACTTAGACTCTCTCCACCTTCTTCATCAGAACTATAAAAGGAATCAACTCATGAAGAAAGATGCTGTTTTCTGCTGTTTTTAAATATTCAAAATAATGAGCAGAGTTCTTTCACCCACTGTCTTGAGAAAACAGAAATTAAACCGTCTGATGTCAACATTATCCATTTATGATGATCCAATGGTGATCAGTGATTAAGCGTGTGACTACCTTGTTTAAGGCGAGCTGACCTACCTGAAGAGGCCTCCAGTCTCTCCAGTCTGCTGATCAGCCAGTCCAATGAACCGGAAAACTGAGCACAGTTCTTCCTGTTTCCTCTGATCAGAGCAGCTGGGAGGAGACAGAAGAGAAGATACATGACTTAAGAAGAGCTGCTTCTATCTGATACTGGTAACCCACAATAACGTACACACAGCTTTGCTTACTATTTCTACATCTGTGTTGATCTCTGTCATCTGATTACAATATTCCTTGTTCTTTAACCCAATATACTAAGTCAATTTGAATTTCTTCGAATAATAGGAATAATGCTTGAATTTATTTGATTAAATCGGTGTGATTTCTTTACGTTGTAAAATCTTGTTTACGATAATATAATTGGTTGTAACCATATGATTTGTAGTGTGTGTGTGTGTGTGTGTGTGTGTGTGTGTGTGTGTGTGTGTGTGTACCCAGTAGTTGGTAGAGGGAGTTGAGGATGGAGCTCCAGGCCTCTCCTGCCTCCCTTCCTACTGTCTCAGCAAAATGAGCCGCACTGCTGTAGACGTGAAGACGATCAATACACTCCAGCACCAGGCTGATCATTCGCTACGGACACAGAGGTTGTTGGTTTCACTGGTTTATTCAGCTGGATCCAGACACATACAATCAAATGAAGTGGACAGTGTTAAAACTCTGGAGGCCCAAGTTGACATTTGTAGTCTTGAGTACTTTGTGAAGGGCACGTTTATCCTACATGTGTATGTCTACCTCACAGTGCAATGGAACAACCATCGGTTGATACTGTCATCTCATCCATCATGCACATTGCACTTGCTTTATTTAAGTTCACACATAATCTTTTTTCTTCTTCTAAATATCCATAAAAGAACAAATTTAACTAGAAGAAAAAAAATCCTACAAAAAATAGAAAATTGGTGAAGGATCAACAAATAAAATGACAATACAGATACAAATGAAACAGTGAGACATAAAGTGACGTTTTCATCTCACTGGTTGAACTTTGATTAAAACATTTTCGAAATTACGAATAAAGAAAAACTGCCAATTATTTAAACTATGCTTACAGGTTATTAGCATAATGACACTATAGTCAAAATGTATAAATAAACAAAAAATTCATTTTACTTTGAGTGGCCTTGTTAGTATTTGTCGTTTTTTTTACTTAGAAAAGTCATTTGAAATATTATAGAACCGAGTCTGAATAGGAAATCCCACTTTGTACTCATTCATAGGTATTGACGTAAAGAAGACGCAAACACTCACACACACACACACACACTGCCTACCTCTTCCTGAAAGAGGTTCTGCCGGTTCTTCAGGGCTCTCAGTCGGTTCTGCTTGTCTTCATGTTCCAGGTGATCTCCAGGTGGATGGAAGTAGCCAATCAGATCCTGCAGACTCAGACTGACCGAATCTATTGGTAGCTCAAGAGTGGAGCTCTTCCCCTTTTTCCTTAGTGTGTCTAGACCCCTGGTGCATAAGGAGTAGAGGACGTCACTCACTGTCTTCATAATGTGACAAGCTCTCACTGCTCCGGTCTGATGATGTTTACCACCTGAACGTTTGCTTGTCAGTGTTGTGTGTAGCTGCTGTTTCTGCAGCGTGTTGTTGTTCAGAGTGCTGATGCTTTCAGTTTGTTGGTTGTGACAAGCTTGTCTGTTTGAGCTGATTGTTTATGCACCCCTCCCTCCTGCTCTATATTGGTTTGATGTATGGGATGATTCCCCAGTCCAAACTAATGCGGGGGGCCTAATCAATTCAAATGGCTTGTAAAGATGGGAGGGACTTAGCTAAATATACAGATTCCATGTATCTACAATGCATCTTACAGTATGTTTTTCAGGAAGTAATAATCAATGTTGCAGTTCTCTCTAGAATTCTGCTTCAGAAGGGCATGGAGCCATTTTTAGTTTTTTTGTCTGTTATCGTTTTGGACGATGTGTTTGGCTAACTGCTAACAGCTAATGGAATTACCAGTGCACATACTGCTGTACCTGGCACCTGGTTCCTGGGGCCAGACAGCTTGGTGACTTCACCTTTGTGCTTTGGCACGATTCTATGAAGTGGATAATACGAGGACTTTGAGTCCATTGCTTGTATAATGTTTGAATAAAGTCTATTTGACGACACTCTCCAGCACCACTTCAGTTCATTCAATCACACAATACAGCAGTGGTCGTTTCAGACACACCTGGTGGGGTTTCTGCACCTCTTGGGTTTTTCATTGGATTTAGAATATATATATCTATAATGAATATATGATTTAATAAGATATCCTTCATTTGTGGTGAGTTCTTTTGGATGGATGGATCAAGTTGTCTTTCAAGAAGGGAACCTTTTTTGTGACCGATATTATTTGTGGAGTTTGGGAGAGGACATGTTCGTACATGTACTACAATGGTATATGTTGTGTCTTTTAAGTTACAAGTCAATCACTGGGCAGTTGACCCACATGATGCAATTAGCTACACTGTACACCATTTTTGAGCCAAACAGATGAGGTGAATCGATCTGTTTGGCTGCTTAAAAACATACAGTACAATACAAACTGTACTGTTGGTGCGTAGCTCATTGAGCTGTGATCCGATGGGGCTCAGTGGTGAGTGCACATGTCTGGTTTGATGACTGTGCAGCCTAGTGTTGGGGCAGATATTTATTTGGTGGATGTTGCAGAACTTCTGCCGCTGAAAGTAATTACATGTTATGCCTTTTCTGTCCATCTATGTGCGGTTCATTGATTAGTGTCAATCGTGAATCACTAGAGATGATCATTGCAACTGAAACACGCTTGTTCCTAATTCTGCACTATCTTGATGGCAGCAGTATGTTTGCTGCACACAGCAATGGCGGTTGCTGAGTGTAAAGACAGGAACACAGCTGCTTGTTGCTTTGCATAAATAAGGCAAACAGTGAAGACTCCGTCCCTTGTATTAAGCTGCTCTGCAGGATCCTGCCACATTCTCACTGAAGGAACTAGCTCCAGTTCTGTCCTCGAATTACAAGGGATATTTGCTTCGTTATATAGCTCATGTTCAAGATGATTCAAGAAACAAGAACCATTGTGTTCCTGTTTAACTTCTCACAGCTGCTTGGATTCAGGAGGAGAGAGGTAGAGGACCAAAGGTCTCTTCAGAGGAGCATCACTATTACTTGCGATGAATCCCTGCCAATCACAAACAGTCACTTTAACTGTTTTAGATTATTAAACTGCTGGTGCTGTTTATTACAAGCTGATACACAGAGCAGCCTCTTCCTCTGAAAGTGTCTGATTACCATCCTTTGCCATGGTATCTCTTGCCTTCTGTGCCACGTGTATTGCATATCTAGGTGTGTGTGTGTGTAATAACCCACCTGATGAAGAGGTTGAACAAACACACAGTACTGCGGATAACCCTGGCAGTGCGACTCTCCTCGTGTTGTGAGCGGGACAGCGTCAGCCCGTCGTCCATGTGACCCTCATGGTGCATGATGGCCTGAAATGAGAGGTAATGCCGTTAATATCACACTGAATTAATTCAATTACAGCATTTTCAAAAGACCTGAGACTATTGAGTTAAACTTGAGCTGTCTTTGGGCAAAAGTATCCAAGGAGCCCTGTGGTTGCTGTTAAATAACGGAAGTAAAACTGCGTACATTTACTAAAACACTACAGTTATAACAGCTGTTTTCTGATTGATTTCTGCTTTAACTTTTATTTTGAACAACAGAACTACTTGAATCAGTCTGTCTAAAATGCACAGTCATGCTTAGTTAACATGAGCTCCATTCAGATGTTTGTGTGCCATTTCTTTACCACCTGAGCAGGTAGAATAGTCTGTTCAGAGAAACACTGAAAGCTTCTTGTGACTTATTGCAAGCATGCAGGCCTGCTTCTAACGTTTACTCCAATGTTAATTAGGGGTGTAAGAAAATATTGCATCACTTGGGTATCACAATAGTATTTTTTGTGGTACTGTATCAATTCTCAAACACACTGTTATTATTTCTATTAATGACAATAGTTTGATTAAAAATCATGAACCATAACTATACAAAAGCATGATTTAAGAAGCGCTTGAGTATTTACACGAATCATGTGTGTATTATTAACATATCTATATTTTATTTGTCAAATAAAGCGCTTATCGTCATAATGGTATGTCGCAATTCCCCTGATTTACATGCAAAGATTTGTGATCAACAGCGGCTCAGACTGTGATGTTGGATTTTACAGGGATTGTGATAAATGCGGATCTCACTGATCTGATTTACTCTGAATATATGCATATGGAAGTGTGTTCTTTATACCATGACAGTTTACATGTAATTAGACAAAAAGAAAACCATGATGCATGGCCTTGTTACAGTGTCGCAATACATCGCAATGTATCGAATCATAACTCCTGCATCATGATACGTCTCGTATCGCCAGATTGTTGCCAACACAAATCCCTAATTTGAATAAAGAGTCATAAGCACCAGTGTTGACTCCTTGTTATACAGCAACCCCAACATGGACATGTTACTAGAAAAGAGAGACGGGTGATAGAGCGCTCTGAAAAGGTGCAGTATGTTTCGTGCAGCGAGGTACCTTTCTCTGTACTCCACCCATGCGTGCACACTTGGCGTCAATGGTCTGGTATGTGAGCCACAGGAAGGTGTCAATATGTTGAATGTAACACACAGAGTCGCCATACTTAATGTCGGGAACACCCATCCCATCCACCTCCTTCTTCACACCAGGGTCCAACTTTTCCTGAAGGAGAGAGAGAGGAACGGAAACAAACTGAATACTGCGATTAATACAGATGAAATGTTACAAGACAAGAAACAGGGCTGCTTTAAGGGAACATTTCATCATTTAAGATCCCAGTTATTTGAAACCAGAAATGCCCTACCTGAGCATCTCAAGCAAACCAAATCTTTAGCATCCTTTACATCACTTCGGGTTTCTATCTTTGGCCTTTTAAACTTTGTTTTAACCCGTTTTGTCCAATCTTGTCGCATTATTTTAGCATATTTTATTGTTTCACTCTGTTGTTTCACTCTGTATAGCACTTTGTAACTTTGTTAATGAAAGCGCTTTATAAATAAAGTTACTATTGAAGTAACTCTGTACCTTGGAGGACCTGAAGCAGAAGGCTGTAGACTTGACATCGGCTTTCTCTTTGTCCATCAGCAGCAAAGATTTGTCTTCTATCAGACTCAGATACTTCCCCGTGGTCACGTGTCTCAGTCTGAACGGCTGACCCCAGCGGATATGACTCCCGCTCCACCTGGACACAAACACAGCCAGAGACATGAACACCAATCGTACAAACAGACATTAAGAATCTTCAATAAAAAAAACACTTCTTATATATCTATAGTTGTTACTCACAAACCCATCAGCTCTGTAGAGACTAGCTTATTTCATAAGCATGCAAAACATTTTCAGAACATGATTACGGATCATTTGAGCACTGAAGGTACTCTGCACCTGATGCTGATGGATTGATGCGATTTACTGGTTTGTTTTAAGTCGTCTTGTTTATGTGAAATGTGTGCGTTATATTGTTTTTAACTTTTTGCTGTTTGTTTCTTTAAGTCTGTTTTCTGTGCTTTTATGTGGTGCTTGTGTGAAGATTTGACGCAGCCATCTTGGCCAGGACCCTCTTGTAAATGAGATTATCCTGGCTAAATAAGATTAAATTTATAAATATATACATATATTTCTGTGTGGTGATCTGACTGTGTGGAGGTGCATGTCTGCTGGTGTGTATTTGTGCATCCACATGCTTCTTGTATGAATGGTGTACTCACACAACCCGCAGTGTCTCCAGCCTCCACAGGGACCTGGCATGACTGGACACTGCTCCCCCCTCATAGTGCACTGTCCTGGGGGTAAAAAGGAAAGTAGCACACCTTCAGACCTATTATATATCCACTCCACACATAACCATGTACAAGTCACTTCTTCCACTGCAACTTCAGTTTCATATGACTTCGATATGCTGCTACTGTACCTGGATGACTCGGTACCAAAGCTAAGCAGACGTTCAGGAGGAGAATACATCGCTCTCATCGGCATTGTTTAACAACATGGCTGTCTCTTTTGGGAATATCTTAAAACTATTATTATTAATAGTCCTCCCTGCCTCAGTCACAGCAGAGCGCTCAGTCTGCAATGAGATGTGCTACTTTCTCTTCCTGCAGGCCATGTAATCTCCTTAAACAAGCTGAATACTGTGTATGTCAATGGTCTAAACTCAAGGGTGGAGGAGAGCTGACTTTGACATTCTGTAAAGTCCTGAGAAACTTAAATTTCAATAAGAGATGCTGAAATATTTTGAATGGCCATATGTTTGTGACCATATTCAATGTAATTGAACCCAGATTCAATGGTGCTATATTGTCAATAAAGAGTATAATAACCCATCACATGACCACCTCTGGAATCATACACCTGGTATGAAATATCCAATGATGCGAATGCTAGCTGGTCATAACCACTGGACTCTTTCTCATGTCTAGTATCCGTCCTATATGACTGGAAAGCGATATTAGTATCATTGACTCATTGTTGACAGCTACCCCCTGACTAGTAACATCCATCACATTCATACAAGTTTAAAATCTGACAGTTCTCACTGTCTCACTGCTGATTCCCACATGCAACTACTGTTAGCTGCTGCAGCTCCCTCCACCGGCCTCACATCCTGCTGTTGTGTTGACTTGCCAAGATCTAATGTTGATGTATGTTTCATCTATTTATAGGACATCTATTTACGATTTATTGCATTTGGTAGGACATAATGCATACTGTGTATTTTGACTTCCTTCCCCCCCCCCCCCAATCTCTAACATTGGAATCATGTACAATACAGAAGGGATCTCTTTGCAGCCAGTATGGACAGGAGGGACTATTATAGCAACCAGTTATCCAGAGTCTGTAGCCCAAACAGAGCCAGACTAAAGACAATTTGCTTTGTGATAAAAGCTCCTGAAATACAGTACATTATGATCTGCTGAAAAACACACAAAATCATCCAGGTGTTGGTACTGGATCTCATTATGTATGTGCATAACTGAATGACAGCAATTAAAGCTGACTCATTGTACTACGCTTCCCCTGGTGACGTATTGTGCTTTCAACCAACTCCAATGTAAACCCATCCACATCACCATTAGTCGTCAGCGACTACTTGTGACGTAGGATAAAGAGCGAGAACATCTGCTCAGGGAGCAGGTCAGGGTGAACAGTTAGGAAATACCAACACAGGACTTTCACCCAGGAGACTGCTGTTCCTGTCCTGTGGGAAACTAAGTCAGCTTTACCCTAGTGTTGTTACGGAGCTTGCTTATTTAACTTACGTAACTTTTTAAAGTAACTAATGCCAGTTATATAAGAAGCTGACTTATTTGAACACAAACCAGTCTTTTCCTAGTACTTTCGTTGCCAAAGCTTAAGCATGTAGTTTTGTTGCATAAGTAGACTTAAAAACGAAGTAAACCTACGTTGGAAGCTTTTTTTGAAAAGACAATGTAACAAGCAGTAACTGACCCGGTCCTTGACCCGTCCAAAACAGACGCTAGAGGGGAACTTAGAGCGTCACACTTTCAGGTGTAGAGCCACTGACCAAGTGTCGGTATTTGACAAGTTGTGAGTTTGAGTATGTTGAATCTGATGTTTACACTGAATTAGTGCAGGTAAAAAGAGGAGATATACTTTGTTAAATAAATGACAATATTGAGTCCATATATCAGTACAGTTGTATCAGTGCACATTACCTCCTTTGCTCGTCCCCATGCTCCCCAGACGGAACAGTCAGACACTCGTCCATGTGACCGTGAAGGAGGCGCAGGACGTCCCCTCCTATCAGGAAACCTGCACAAAATAGACAACAGAAAGGGAGAAAAATGGAGATGACATTGGAGAAGGAGAGGGAGAAGGACAGATAAAAGTGACTTTGGGACTCGACACATGAATCATACTAGAGAGAAATGGACAGGTTTGCATAAAAGCTCCAGAATTAGTACATACATTACCTTGCCTATACATTTTGAAACACTTTTTAGCATTCTGTTGAACCTGACTGTGCTGACGTGGGAGGAGGGCAGCAGGGATCAATTATGGAATCAAACCAGACGTGAATAAGCGCCTCTGAAACCCACCTGTTCAGATAAATAAAGACCAGCACCAGCAGAGCTCACTGCCCAAATGAAGACCACCTGTCACTCTGAGCCTTTAGGGAATCAAAGTCTCTACTGGACTCAATGTAAAACAGGCAGAAACCTAATTCTACACTACATATCAAAACTAAGCAGGTTTCGACGATGAAGCGTGTCCACACAGAAAAGTGTCGAAATGAAGTACACTCAAAAAACTCAAAAATCAGCATTCAACGCTATTGCCCCATAATTCATTGCAAAAAGGAAAATGAGGAGTTGCTAACATCTGCAACACATTAGAATAAAGCATGAATGGCAGTGAAATAGTTCAAGCATGATAAAGTTACAGTACATATTGTTTGCATTCACATATTCACCACTACTGTAAGTTCCACCTTCACATGAAAACGCTACTGGATCAACCGTTCAATCATCATCACATGGCTGAACATGTGCAAAGCATTCAAAGTGTCCCGAAATTTGAATACCACTTACCAATTTAATTTGTGTAAAAACATGAAGCCACAATCAAAGATTGTACTAAAGCACACTACAAGCAAGTAAGCAAGAAAGAGAGAACGATGGAACAAAGTAACAGACAGGTGTACCTTGTGCTACTTCACTGCCAGAGCAGATGGGAGCCACACTCCATAGTGTCTGCTGAAAGGCAGCATCAACATGGAGACTGCCATTACCGTAGGACAGATGCTGCAGGGAGAGACATTACAGCCAAATACAATTCAATTAATGACATACACACAAACAAAAAGGATGTTCCTTTATTTAGCAATTCAGAAAGGAAGGCCAGGTCTGGCCCTCGGTAACACCGGGGGCCAGTTACATGAACTCAGTTTGAAACTAGTATCGGCCGTAGACATCTCCTGGATTGTCAGGTTAGATTAGTCTAATTAAGCCTGTCTGTTGCATAAACATCAAGACTGACTTCATTTAAGGTAATCACCTCTCACCTCTCCTGCACCCCAGCCAATCAGTGCCGCCCGTTCTCACAGCAGAATGAAGCGTGCCTTGGGCTGCATTCATTCAAAATCCAGCAGCTTCCAGCAGCTTTGTGAGGAGGTGCAGATCTCTTTCTTTGTGCTTTACAATAAAATATGTTTTCATTCTCCTGATTCACGGCTCCTGATCTTCAATCACACTCCAGCTCGCTCGACCGCCGCAGCGCTCTCTAATGTAGTCATGTTTGCATTCGATTGCCGAGCTAATTTTAACCAAAAATCTAAGTTTTGTAGCAAATAAACTCGCCTTCAGCAAAGTATTGTCAGAGTGTTTCTTTGAGCAATTGAAGAAGTTTCCATTCCCGCTTGAGACTCCACTTCAGTAGCATGACACGCCAAACCGTCCACTGTCACTCCTCTATATTCTGAAGGTTTTTACAGATATCATTCATAGCCTGATTTTAAAAACATGGAGAAATGAGTTGGTTTTTTTATGTCTGTCGACATGATTTTTAGATTTATGGAGTGATACAAAGAGGTACCTTAAATTCCCTCTGCAACAACATTTAACTTAAATATGTCAACAAAATAAAACAAGAATTCTTGACTCTGGATCCCAAATTAAAGGAAAGAAACAAAGAATGATGGAAAGAAGAAAGAAGCAAAGACACAAAGTGACAGTAAGATGTGAGCGCCCCTCTCCTCTCATGTGTTCCCACATGCAGCTGCTACTGACCAGATATCTTTCAGAGGAGACGCTGACCAGGATGAGATCATCTCCCACTCTAACCTTCTCACCCTCTGACCGCTGCTTTGACGCTGGATGGATGGTCCACCAGCATGCCTCGCCTACACACACACACACACACACACACACACACACACACAATAGCTCAGAAGATATAACAGAAATGTGTCCATGAAACACAGACTCAAACACAGTAACATGAAGTCCTACCTATCACCTCAGCCTGTGTACTGTGTACCACTTTGGTAGCCTAGATTTGTCTTGCAGCTGGTTCTGCTTGCACTGTAATTTGCACCATCTTGGAAGAAGCAGGTCAACAACAAAAACAGAACAACGTGTACTTTGCAGAGTCTAATTGTCTAATTGCAGCAGACTGAGTGATGCTTATGGGTCCAATCTGAGGTACCTTGATTTGATTGTAAGATCTGACGTGATCGTTATTTTGCAGCTCCAAATGAAAGCGTTGTCTGTGTTTTTTAATGCAATTAAAACAATGTCTTGTGGTAAATTGTGCCGTTAATATCATTTTCTTAACCCCTTAGCTCCTTAGCTTTGTTTTTTTTATTTCCCCCTTAAAGAGCTTTATGGTTGGAAAAATACTTCAAATATAAAATCTCTATCTTTTAATTGAAGCTTTATGAAATGTTCTTTTCCTCAAAATGTAACCTGATATATCCGGTATCTTTGGACAGAAACAGCACACATGCTTTTGGCCTTACAGAGTTGATATGGCTGTTGCTTTAGCGAACAGTTTATATATCTACTCACTAGAAGACACAGAGCAACAGCAGCCATTATTTGGAGTGGTATTTATGTCCACCTATTTAATCTCCTTTTACCTTACTTTTGCTTCCACGACAACACTGTGTAGCGCACAGCTAACCAGTGGTTCTCTTTACTCTACTGTATCTTTATATTACAAAGAGTTGTTTGCTGCTATATTAATGCTCTGAATCCCGTATGGAACATTTAAGATACAGCTCTGCAAACTTGACTACACAGCAGAAGTTTAACATGACTGCTGCTGGCCAGGGATGCTTTTCATATCAACAGAAATTCAAACTATATGATAACAAAAAGCCGTGGCGATGAGAGAAAGGAGTTTGACCCCCACCTGTGGTATCTTCCTGCAGTCCGACATCAAAAGCCAGTTTGTCTGTGGATGAGCGGGAGGTGGACAGACAGCACAGATACTAAACAGAGAAACACAATTCATTCTATCAGTCCATCTGATTATCATCTACCGACGACAGTGAGATGTGATGGGATTGATACCTGTTGCCTGAAGAGCTCATGTGTGTCATTCACTACCCCGGTAATAACTACAGAACCAGCTACACACTCTGTTTCTGCTCACTCACTGGTTCGGCCGTTAAGTTCAAAAAGCAATAGCTTGCAAGCTCATCAAATGGGCTGTTTGACTTTCAGAATTCAAATCATTATTGTATTATTTATTTGATCATGAATGATTCTGTCTTGCTTAGTCTGCCAACATGTAACATATTACAAATAAAGTCGACTATGACCGATGACACGCATTCAGAATAACTGTATAGGAAAGGTTCATCTCTTCACTGATGCAGCTCATATTAAATGGAGACTTTCATAATTAGATCAAAGTTCCTCATAGCAACTTTACATAAAAAAGGCAAATAATAAATAAATATGGCAGAAACGTCCTTGTTGTTTTAGTTATAATTGTTATGTTGGTACGTGCATGTATATAAGTGTGTGTGCTCACTGACCATTCCACTGTAGGAGTGCCGCAGCAGCACAGCGTGTCCGTACAGTAAGGTGCGATGGCCGCCACTCTGGGCCGTCTGACAGAGAGCCAGTGACAAGAAGGAGAGAGAGAAAAATAAAAGATGAGTTACACAAGACAGAACGGCACTGGGAGAGAACAGCCAAACAGAGATATCAATAAACAGGAAGAGGGAGAGAGAGGACAACTGTATCATTTCATTCTTCAAGGATCCTTTATCTATAAAGTCGTAGGAAAAATGTGACCCAAGAGTCTAAACACTACAATAAAAAGCATCAGATTTGTGATGACGTCCATCATTCACATCACAGTAGCTTTAATTAAGGCACTCTGTGTAGAAGTTCAATATATCACTGTCATATTACTGTAGCATCCCTAGCTGAGAGTTTAATTACCATCATCAGGGCTGGGTAATGAAATAATAATCAGGAATATGATTTGGGCCTCCACAGTTAATTAAACCTGATTGGGTACACTATTGACACTTTGTTTAATGTGCCTCCTCTGGTGTACAAATCAAACGCTCCCCATTCAGAGGTAAACGATCCCACCAATCACAGGTCTCTGCTTCCAAGCAGCTGCATTTTACTGCGACTACTTGAATAAACCTGCAAAAGGATTACAAAAGTGTGGAGATCCTTTTGATTTTTGTTGCGTGTGTTTCCTGTAAAGATGTCAGTTTGAACTGACATTGTTTATGTGTGAAGTAAGATTTGTGCATCCTACATCTGATGCAAGTTCAAGCTCCAGGTTTATAGCTTCAATAGGTTCAGTGTAAAGTTCACTGTGATTAAGCAACGACTTCAAATGTTTAAGTAGAAAGTAAATAATGCAAATTTGATCTGAATCTATAATTCTAGTTTGTGTGACTGCATGCAGCCCTGTTCCATGAACTAGACAATGCCAGTAATAAAGTAAAGCAGCGCTAGTGTTCCTCAAAAACAGATCACATTTCCTGTGAACCCTTTTGGCTCTGTGTCTCTTCTCCCTTTCTCAAGACTCTATAGGTGCTGCAAAACTGCAAAGTGACACTGGAGTCTGCGCCACTAGGAGACTGTGCCATGAAACTGGAGTGTTGCTCTCTGACTGACGTTTGTCTTCTTAGTAGAAAGTGCTCCGACACAACCAACATATGACTGTATCTGCTGCTCCTACTGAACACACAGTGCACAACAAGGTCTCACAGACCAGAGATGCTTCACTTTCACACACAGCAGTAGTTTGCATATGTGCCATCCATTTGTACAATACCTCACATCAAGACACATGCCAATAGCCCTGCCCTGAGTATGGCCATTCAGAACAGCAGTGACAACACTTGTTGTTGTAAAATGCCTGTTTCATGATCTATAAAGATTTACAGACGTATAGCAATTTTGAGTAATTTATGGTGTTGACAAATGCAAACTATACCAACCAGTTTGAACAAATGTAAAACAATTTTACTTTTTGAAAACTATATATATATATATATATATATATATATATATATATATATATATATATTTATAGTGGTTCCCTGAACCACTCCCCCCCCTCTGTCCCCTCTGCAGCAGCGCCCAACCACGCCCAGCCACCACAAAATATATATATATATAAAACGGGGCCGTGTAGAGGCTTAATTAGCCACAGCTGATGCCAATCTTGAATTGTGTCTCCTCTCCCATATAAACATGAGTAGTGGCGGAGGCCCGAGAGAGAAAATGCAAGCAGGAGACACCGGCTGGAGAAGCGACAGGGAGGACGACAGATCATCCCGAGAGAGTCGTATACGACAGACCACATATATATAAAAACTAAGACGTCTGGCTTTTCAGGGCATTTATATGGAATTTTAGAGAGACGAGAGGCCTTTTTCCCAGTATTTATTTGTTAAAAATGTTTTACATTTGTTGAAATTGGTTGGCATCTGTGGATTGAACGGAGCATTTGTGAACCCGATAAATTACTGACAAATCAACATACACATCTGTAAATCTTGTTTGTATCATTAGATCATGAAACATGCATTTGAGACCAATGTTGAGTCTAATTCTTCTCCATACTCTCCTTTTCCTTAGCAGCGTGCTGAGGCCTGTAGTGTCTCTGTTGTGCAAAGACACATGCAGTTCCTGTGGTTGGCCTTCTAAGGATCGTCCTACTACAGCCACTCAACAACAGGACAAGAGTGTTTTATTCCAGTTTGTCTTCAATTCAGACTATTGTGGGAAAAGTTCTGGTATTTATCCTTAATTAATGACTACGTCCACCAGTAGGGCAGGTCAAGCCACTGTTAAATAAGGACGTCATTGAAGACACATGATGTTTATTTCCTCATGTTAGATTGATGGTGGGGGGGACTGATGTTTGTGCAGCATTGTAAACAGCTGTGTCTCAACCACGCATTTGGATTTTTTTGATGAGCGAAGTGTTGGATCTGTTTGCCTCGAGGCAGAATTCCGCCTGTGCACCGATCCAAAACCGAACATCTCTGGGAGAGCAGCTCAGTTTTCTTGGCCATCCTCTACGTCTACTGGAACCTTTCCTTCAAAGGAATCGTCTGTTGATATAATCCTCTGGATCCCAATAGGGACTGCCTTTGGTTCTGGTCTCATTGCAGAATGATGACACTGTGGCTCATTTTACAGGAATACTTTAGCAATTTTAGGAAACGTGCTTATGTCACTCTTAACGTGAGTAAGCTGAGAAGGTCGATACCACTTTCATGTTGTGTGTGCTGAATGTGGAGCTGCAGCAGCTGATTAGTTTATCTTAGCATGAAGGATAGAGCGCCATCTAATTAACATATCATACGTAATGTACAGAACAAGAGGTGACAGTCATTCTTGATTTTTTTTCTTACTGTCAACAAATTACATGTGAAGACAAATAGCAGGCCCCGACAGGGTTGCACAACAAAATGCATTTCCCTAAACTGCTTGGGGCTCCTCACAAATATATAGCTGTTTTTAATCTCAGTAATTTGCTAAAACAGCTGGCCGCTGTTGTTTTTAAGTGTGTGTACACTGTGTGTTTATGGCAATAAAGGAACTTTATTGAACAGGTTTTTGAACAACAAGGGAACGCTCCTAGATCCCCCAGGAGGAGATGGACATCTGGACTATACCTTGCTCAGCATGCTGCCAATGGGACCTGACCCCGGACTCACTTGTATCGAACGTATAATAAAAGCATTGATGCTGTCTTCTTCTTGGGAGGATAGATAAGATATTACAGTCAAACAGAAACACATTTTAACCAGTAGCTGTTATCAAAGGACAGCAGCTGCACAAAGTTGACCTGACTAGCGGAGTGATGAAACTGTTGAGGAACCGTTTGGAACCACCATGTTGATACTGTGTAATGGAATCTAGTGCTTGATCAGCAGCCTCCTTTTAGCTGCTTTGAGTTGTGGATTAGCTCTAGCAAGGAACCACCTAATTTAAGCAAGAGTGTGGTTGACAGTAAGCAGATTCCCTCTCCCCGTTTCTGTGTCTGCCACCTCCTTCAATGTGTGTTTCATCAGGCCGCTGCCTCACCTGAAGCCCTGATCTGAGAACAACCTACTGTATATTCATTCACCCCCTTCCCTGCTGTGTTTGTGTGTGTGTGTGTGTGTGTGTTGCTTCACACTCACCCCCTCAGCCTTATCCTCGGTGTTGGCCAGCATCTCCTGAAGGGCTCGTACCGACAACGACTGCTCCAACACAAAAGTGCAGATGGACAGATCTGGAGGCACATTCTGAAACGGTAACACATTTATTGGTGTTAACTTAACTTTTACACTTCTATACACAAGAGTCAATTATTTTGTATTAGCACAGGATTGCTGACCATAAGTAGTGGTTTAAGATCAATGAAGTAGAAATACTTTGGTACTGGTTTGATGTACGGTTGGTTAGAAACTCGACACGCTTCTTAATGTAGCAATTTTACACCGATGGACTGTAATAACGGTACGATAATCATACGTTACACCCTTCATGTTCAGTGACCTCTCATGCTTCTTATGGAGGCATTTACATCATTCATGTTCCATGTGGCATAAAGGAGTGTATTAGAACAGCACACTTGTATCAGTACCTTGGAGTTGGAGATGGATTCAAGGAAGCACAGTCTGTTTCCAAAGCCTTCAGCAGCCAGACAGAGTTTCTGTTGTTCCTTGTGGATTGTGGCTGAGCACTGGAGGACCACTTCATCGTCCTACACACACACACACACACACACACACACACACACACACACAAAAGTTATAGTTACAAATCAGGACAGAGATATTCTGATACTCATTGGTGGAAGCTAATAACTGCAGAGCAACCTCATCTTTCTAGAGAACTGACTATCACAAACACTTCCAAACCAAGCCCTTTGCCATGTAGCACTGCAAGAGGAGTCCGAATGCTTATACACATGTATGCCTACTATTATTATAGTAAATAATACAGTGAAAACATTATTGTGCCCTGTAACACAATAGTGAAATCAAAGACAGAGCAAATTCATTCAGTTTCCAGAAGCCTTCAAAGAATACACAGGAAGCCACAGAAGTAGTAACATCCTGTTAGATCCATCTGTAGGCTACTTGTAGTTTGCAGACCACGTTACAATTTATTTCAATTTTATTCATATATACATACAAATATACAGTATATATACACCTTTACGTTAGGGTGAGGATTACTATTTTCAACAACACAATATATGTTTTTAACATTTGAAATGTTCATTGTAACAACAACATGAACAACAATTACTATTACGTAGAAAATTCAAGTTTTCTAAAAAAACATGGTGTTTATCATGCAGTCGGTGGAGAGCAACTGCGGCGCCAGATCTTGTGAGGTCATCGCTGACCACGTGTACATGACGTCAGAGCAAGTCGGGATCAAGTCGGACACAAATCTAACCAGCATGCATTGTGCGGCGATTCTGTGCAGGCCAGGCTCATGTCAAACAAACCTATGGTCATATTATGTTCAATGCCATCTATTTCTAGCATACATCGATACTATGCTATCGCATTTTTATGCTGTTTGAGGACAATCTGAATATGAATTTGTATTAATATGAACACTTTGGGCTTGGTATTGAACCTCAATCATTTTTGGTAGACACCAATAAATATCTGTCGCCCTATCGCCTGACAAGAACGTAGATATTGGACGATTTTACAAAAGTTTATGATCAATTACGAACTATTTTAATGTCAGTTTAAAAGATTTTTCTCTAAAACATCTGTGCATGGTAAGGTTAACTGTTCAATTTAAAACGCTATAAATGTCCATCCACCACCCCAAAAAGCTGCATTGGCACTGATTGCTGAAAATGGTGTAAATTGTGAAGTGCAGATTTGTCCACTACGAACATAATTCCAAATTCATAAGTGTGAAGTACTAAAATGTGGCATTAGATTACATTACAGTCATTTAGCAGACGCTTTTATCCAAAGCGACTTACAATAAGTGTATTCAACATCGGTTTTCGAGAGAACACCTAGTCACCAGAAGTCACAAGTGCATCTCCTTTCTTCAAACAAGCATTTAAGAGCATAAACCAGAGCCAACGTACAGTGCAGAAACAAACGAATGCAATAAGTGCCACCAACTAATATGAATACAATAAGTGCAATAAGCTAGTATGAATACAATAGATGCTAAGTAAGTGCTAAGTGGAAGGCTCAGGGTAGGCCTTCTCGAAGAGGTGAGTTTTCAGCCTGATGAAAGATGGGCAGCGACTCTGCTGTCCTGACATCAGTGGGGAGTTCATTCCACCACTGTGGGGCCAGGACAGAAAACAGCCACGACCGGGTCGATCGGCCGTAGGGACCTCTGAGCGACGGGGCAACCAATCGCCCCAAGGCAGCAGAGTGAAGTGGTCGGGCGGGGGTGTAGGGCTTGACCATGGCCTGGAGATGCAATGTTTGCTGAGAATGACAGTTGGTCGTCCAGGGTCACACTCAGGTTTCTCGCAGTCCGAGTTGGCGTCACCATGGTATCGTCAATGGTGATGGACAGGTCTCGGTGCGAGCAACCCTTCCCCGGGAGGAACAGTAGCTTGGTTTTGTCCAGGTTGAGCTTGAGGTGGTGTGTCGTCATCCACTTCGAGATGTCAGCCAAGCACGCAGCGATGCATGCCTCCACTTGAGTGTCACCGGGGCGAAATGACAAGACCAGCTGGGTGTCATCGGCTTAACAATGGTAAGAGAAGTCATGCGAGCGAATAACACAACCCAGAGATGTTGTGTAGAGCGAGAAGAGAAGGGGGCCCAGGACTGAACCTTGTGGAACCCCCGTACTCAGCATGCGTGGTTCCGAAACGGCCCCCCTCCACGTCACCTGGTAGGATCGACCTGTCAGGTTGGATGCAAACAGGGAGAGTGCAGAGCCTGAGACGCCCATCCCCTCGAGGGTGGAGAGGAGGATCTGGTGGTTCACTGTGTCAAACGCCGCAGACAGGTCCAGGAGAATCAGGACAGAGGAGAGAGAGTTAGCTCTCGCTGCGTGAACCGACTCCGTCACCGCAAGGAGGGCTTGCCTGATGTCTGATCAAATCTATAAAGAGGTTTTTCTTATTCATTGATCAGATAGTTCCTGTTTTGAACTATAATCTTAGACCATTTAAAGCTACTACAAGGAACTTTTATTTTGTGCTGCACCTCCACCAGATTAAAACAGATACACTATAATCACATGAACAGTTGTTCTGGCCAGATCAGGCGGAGATCATTACCCGTTCTCTTCAAATCATATTAACCAGGAGACACTGAAGCACAGCGTGTCTTGTGGCGCTGATAACCTCCCTATCAGATAGTCAGACAGCAACAGCTCTACAACATGTCCTACCTCCGAGTGTGACAATCAATTAAATATCTGTCTACTCACACATCTGATCCTGCTGTAACTGTTCTAATCAGCATACATGCATTTGTCTGCCTAATGTCTGTCTACCCATACATGGCCATGTGTAATAAAACCTCTCAGTAGTTTCATTCATCATAATTTGAAGGGATTGTCTGTGTGCCATCAATCACAGTAGATCACAGTAAGTGGTCACTTGATATGTACCCCCATCCAAATGTAAAATCCAATGCAAAAAATAAGTAACTTAAATGTATACAGTATATAAATGCCATGTTTTCGCTGCTTTACTTTTAAAAGTTGTTCATACTCCCTCCAATCTCTGTCCTCGTCCTGAATGAGGGCGAGATCAGAGCTGCCTCACCTCTCTGTATCCTCTTCCTCACTGGTGAGACTGTCTGCTCTGTGTAGGAGGCTCCCAGACACCTGCTTTGATGTAAAGTACAGGCTAATATCTTAAAGTATCCTCCCACTTCAACTTGCACCATAAAAAGGTCGGTGGTGAGGACCCTTGTACACAGCACAACATCTGTATGGGAACATTTAGGATCACGAGGAAGAAAAAGGGAATGATGGAATGATGGGGGGGGCGGGGGGTCAAAGGTCATCAACCAGGAGTCAGTAGACGACAACTAACATTTTGCTGTGTGAAAAGATAGAGCGGACTGTCTCTTACCAACAGTGCTCCATTTCTGTATCAATGCCTAACAGCTTCACTTCACTTAGAACTAATGGAAACAAAGGACTGTATTAGTGCAAACAGAGGACAGCTAGTTGAAACACTCATGGCATGGGAAGACGAGCAAACTTGCTTTCTTTAGGCAAAACTGGAGTAAACTGTAGTTAGTAGTCGCAGCAGTGTATCCTCTGGTGTTTTCTGCGACAGCAGCCAGTAGCTCCCATAAACTTTGCTGCATTTTTGTATTAAGTTGTTATCTTTGCAAAGATAACTCATTCACCATAGCGCCACTTAATTCTAGAGGCCCACGTGAATCTCACTGTGCCACTTTGCATTCTGGTATACCCACGGATGTATGAAGAGAGTGAATACGGTGCGCCACTCAACCTTGGTCTCAATTTGACCTGGTGGCCAACAGTGGTACTGCAATAAATCAATCCTCTGTGGCCACAGTTAATTACGACTTAGTCCACTTCTTATATACACTCGATGGTTTAGTTCCATTAGCTTTATTAGCCCCGTCAGGTGGTAGCTCAGTTAGCATAAACACACCGCAGGACTCTGCTGCCTGGCTGCTGACAGCTAAGCTAACTCTCTCTCCTTCTAACCACAAGCTACTAGTTATCATTCATACATTCATACACGCGATCATCTTACCAAAAAAACATAAAATATGTCTTAAAAATGTGAGAACCACTGCAAGAGGTCATACGGTAATAAATGACCCAAAAATATATTCGGCTAATGTGTCCAGTAGTTCAGATTAGCTGTGGACAGACACAGACAGACGCACTTATGTACATTATAGAGATTTCGGGTTTCCTTTATTGTTTCATCATTTAGGACTCTCTACCACTAGAAGTGCAAACAGACTCGGGGAAAGACACAGAGTGCAGGTCTCTCCCAAGGGGACAATTCTGGTGAATTGTCTGCTGCAGTGTTTCTCTCAGGCTGCAGCCTGACAGTGTTGGTGAATAGCAGGGAGGGGCGGGCCTCTGGCCACAGAACCATACAAGCAGAGAGCAGAGTTTTTCATAGATACAGCTGTAAATTACTCAATATAATAGAGTACCATTGGGGAATATTGCAGTTGTCATAAGATGCCTCTGGAATTCATCATTCACTGTGGTTCTGCTTAATTATCTAGACGTGTGGGCTGAGGGAATACCATCACACACACACATGCACACGTAAGGTTTTTTGGAAATTGGCATGATGTCTTAATGACTCTTACAGTGTCTGGCACATACAAACCCCTCCTGCCCACACCCACATACGTGTACACACTTGAATAATGCCTCTGTGACATTTATACTGGCTGACACACACACACACACACACACACACACACACATACACACAGTTCCCTACATGAAGATGTCTGGTGTCTCTGTCAGCGGCACTTTGCATTCCAGCCTTCTATGGAGGGAGAGAGAAAATGGAAAAGAAACAGACACCGAGGGACTGATAGAAGATCAACGGCGGTAGTTCTGAGCCACATGTAGTCGTTGCAATTTTGGCTGGCGCTTTACACTACAGCACGGTAATAACATGGTATTAATGAGGTAATAATTAAGAAATACTATGTAATCAATTTAATATATATTGCATACAGTATTGCCTTGAAAACGGTAGGGGACTAAAGGGAATGTTTGAAACCTAAGGGA